CGTAATCTTCCATAAAGCCCCAAACCTAACCCCATAACTAACACTAACCATCCCTGGAACCCTATCAATAACAATCCTGGTAACCCTAACACCAATCATAACACTGACCCTCCCTTTAACCCCAACACTAACCCTCCCCGTAACCCAAACACTGATACCCTCCCTGTAACCCCACCACTAACCCTCCCTGTAACCCCAAGACTGACCATCCCTGTGACCCCGACACTGACCCTCCCTGTAACCCCAACACTGTCCCTCCCTGTAACCCCAACACTAACCCTCCCTGTAACCCTTACATTAACCCTCCCTGTAACCCTAACACTAACCTTACCTGTAACCCCAACACTAACCTTCCCCGTAACCCCAACACTAACCCTCCCTGTAACCCCAACACTGACCCTCCCTGTAACCCTAACACTAACCTTCCCTGTAACCCCAACACTAACCTTCCCTGTAACCCCACCACTAACCCTCCCTGTAACCCCAAGACTGACCATCCCTGTGACCCCAAGACTGACCCTCCCTGTAACCCCAACACTGACCCTCCCTGTAACCCTAACACTAACCTTCCCTGTAACCCCAACACTAACCTTCCCTGTAACCCCACCACTAACCCTCCCTGTAACCCCAAGACTGACCATCCCTGTGACCCCAAGACTGACCCTCCCTGTAACCCCAACACTGACCCTCCCTGTAACCCTAACACTAACCTTCCCTGTAACCCCAACACTAACCTTCCCTGTAACCCCACCACTAACCCTCCCTGTAACCCCAAGACTGACCATCCCTGTGACCCCAAGACTGACCCTCCCTGTAACCCCAACACTGACCCTCCCTGTAACCCTAACACTAACCTTCCCTGTAACCCCAACACTAACCTTCCCTGTAACCCCACCACTAACCCTCCCTGTAACCCCAAGACTGACCATCCCTGTGACCCCAAGACTGACCCTCCCTGTAACCCCAACACTGACCCTCCCTGTAACCCTAACACTAACCTTCCCTGTAACCCCAACACTAACCTTCCCTGTAACCCCACCACTAACCCTCCCTGTAACCCCAAGACTGACCATCCCTGTGACCCCAAGACTGACCCTCCCTGTAACCCCAACACTGACCCTCCCTGTAACCCTAACACTAACCTTCCCTGTAACCCCAACACTAACCTTCCCTGTAACCCCACCACTAACCCTCCCTGTAACCCCAAGACTGACCATCCCTGTGACCCCAAGACTGACCCTCCCTGTAACCCCAACACTGACCCTCCCTGTAACCCTAACACTAACCTTCCCTGTAACCCCAACACTAACCTTCCCTGTAACCCCACCACTAACCCTCCCTGTAACCCCAAGACTGACCATCCCTGTGACCCCAAGACTGACCCTCCCTGTAACCCCAACACTGACCCTCCCTGTAACCCTAACACTAACCTTCCCTGTAACCCCAACACTAACCTTCCCTGTAACCCCACCACTAACCCTCCCTGTAACCCCAAGACTGACCATCCCTGTGACCCCAAGACTGACCCTCCCTGTAACCCCAACACTGACCCTCCCTGTAACCCTAACACTAACCTTACCTGTAACCCCAACACTAACCTTCCCTGTAACCCCACCACTAACCCTCCCTGTAACCCCAAGACTGACCATCCCTGTGACCCCAAGACTGACCCTCCCTGTAACCCCAACACTAACCTTCCCTGTAACCCCAACACTAACCTTCCCTGTAACCCCAACACTAACCTTCCCTGTAACCCCAACACTAACCTTCCCTGTAACCCCAACACTAACCTTCCCTGTAACCCCAACACTAACCTTCCCTGTAACCCCAACACTAACCTTCCCTGTAACCCCAACACTAACCTTCCCTGTAACCCCAACACTAACCTTCCCTGTAACCCCAACACTAACCTTCCCTGTAACCCCAACACTAACCTTCCCTGTAACCCCAACACTAACCTTCCCTGTAACCCCACCACTAACCCTCCCTGTAACCCCAACACTGACCCTCCCTGTATGAAGCTCTTTCCCCGCACAGTGACAGCTTCTCCCCACATTCGTATTGTCATAGAAGGAGATTTGTCACGTCCAGCCGATCTTTGCTGAAGAACGCCCCAACACTCGTCACCCTCATCCATTGTAACACGGAATCATTTCTATACAATTGTTACGTTGTTGTTCTTTTTCAGGTGAAAGTTTCCTATTACACGGCGCAGGGGAAGGAGCACGTGAGCAGCGTCATGCTGTACGTGACAAGTGTGGGTGAGTGTCTCCTGTCCTCGGGGGGTCATCACCTCGCCCCTTCCCGGCTTATCCAGAACTTCAAGTTCCATCATCAGGAGATATGAGAGAGAACGAGAGAGAGAGAGAGAACGAGAGAGAGAGAGAGAACGAGAGAGAGAGAGAGAGAATAGATCAATAGATATGAGAGATAGAACGAGAGAGAGAGAACGAGAGAGAGAGAACGAGAGAGAGAGAACGAGAGAGAGAGAACGAGAGAGAGAGAGAGAACGAGAGAGAGAGAGAGAGAATAGATCAATAGATATGAGAGAGAGAACGAGAGAGAGAATATAGATGGAGAGAGAGAGAGAACGAGAGAGAGAATGAGAGAGAGAATATAGATGGAGAGAGAGAGAGAACGAGAGAGAGAATGAGAGAGAGAATATAGATGGAGAGAGAGAGAGAACGAGAGAGAGAATGAGAGAGAGAATATAGATGGAGAGAGAGAGAGAACGAGAGAGAGAAAGAGAGAGAGAATATAGAGGGAGAGAGAGAGAGAGAAGGAGAGAGAGAGAGAGAAGGAGAGAGAGAGAGGGGGGGGAGAGAACGAGAGAGAGAATAGATCAATAGATATGAGAGAGAGAACGAGAGAGACAACGAGAGAGAGAGGGAGAGGGGATATGAAAGAGAGAGAATAGATGGAGAGATAGATAGATGTAGATAGATAGATAGAATAGATCAATCGGAGAGAGAGGGAGAGTAGATATGAAAGAGATTCGTAGATCTGCATCTGATGGAAGGCTGTAGCGCGGTAATTCGTCTCCTGCTGAACAATTGTGAAACTGAAGCCTCAGTGTCATCGGCTGATCCGGGTTTTCTTGTGTTTCCAGCGGTGTCCCTGGACGTGGATGTGAATCGGATCGGCTTTGTGAGCCGAGGAATGAAAAACAAGGTAATAAAGTTGTGTGTGCGCTCCAATAGTGTCCTGCGTCTTCCAGAGCCTCGGGGGTACAGCCACAGGACCTGATACTGCTATGCACACTTCAGGGCTGGGGGACAGCATGTGTCACTAACATAAGGGCAGGATACTACAGGGGGGGGGCTCCTCATGTCTGTCAGCTCCGGAACTGTCCCCAGACAAAGGAAGTAAAACATAATAATAAGCCGAATCTACAAGTCTGAAGTCATTATTGTCCTGTTATAATCACTGCAGACTGATTGTGACTTCACCAGATCGCCGCCATGACCGGTTCTCTTTAATAATCAAAGAACGCAGCACGCTGACACTCAGGAGAAAGTTCCCGACACTGAGAATACAAAGTCACCAAAACGGAACATTCTATAGAAAGATAAAACTCTCCTCCACTTCTCTCCAGGACTCGTGGACTTGGGGGCCCGACGGGAAAGGGGCCGTCCTGCTGGTGAATTGCGACCGCGACCGGAACAGCTCAGGACCGGCAGACAATGAAGACGACGAAGCAACTGAGAGGGAGGGAGGGAGGGGGGAGAGGAAGGAAGGATAGAGGAGAGAGAGAGAGAGAGAGAGAACGAGAGAGATACAATTCTCTATCTATGTATCTATCAGTGTTACATTTCTACCTTCCCTCTCCGGCGTTCTATTGGACAGATGTGAAGGACATGTCCCCGATGATCCTGACGGCGGAGGGCCCAGATGAGGTTTTCGATGACTACAGATTGGTCCTGGAAATCGATCCGTATGACTCCAGAAGACTGCGCGTATACCGCCAGGGAAGTACGTACTGCGGAACGATGATGTCATAGTACTCATTAGGTCCAGATTTAAACTTCCTGCTCTCCAAGGCCAACTGTCCCACAGCAGCCAAACCACCTACAGCAACCGAAAGCCTACGCTTGGTGTCACAGTGACAGGATGTGAAAACTCTGGGGCTGGGGGACAGCCTGCCTGGGGTACATTGGTATGCCAAGAACCAACATCAAGAAGAGCGGGGCAGAGTGTCACAATTGTCTGCGAGCAGTTGGTTCTTGGTATAGATTGGCAGCGGGCAGTTGGGTTCTTGGTGTAGATTGGCAGCGGGCAGTTGGGTTCCTGGTGTAGATTGGCAGCGGGCAGTTGGGTTCCTGGTGTAGATGGCAGCGGGTAGTTGGGTTCTTGGTGTAGATTGGCAGCGGGCAGTTGGGTTCTTGGTGTAGGTTGGCAGTGGGCAGTTGGGTTCTTGGTGTAGATTGGCAGCGGGCAGTTGGGTTCTTGGTGTAGATTGGCAGCGGGCAGTTGGGTTCTAGGTGTAGGTTGGCAGCGGGCAGTGCAGACTGCCTTAGGAAAGCGCAATGACTATTTGAAGAGGCATTTTGGAAAGAGCACATGACTCTTTCCGATCACATGGTGCTGGGCACATGGATGGGCCCCTCTAGGACACCATCACACCATGTAGTTCCACTAGAAGGAACATTACATTATACAAGGCTGGGACATGACACTCTACTACCACCTAGTGGCAGAACTAGTAATGACAGTATAAGACATGACAATGGTTGTTGCTCCCATGTCTGTATGAACGGCATCCTAACAGCTCCCGATTTTTTAGAATTCCAGTTCAAACAAGTCCTTGGGATGGGAAAACTGGCGTACGAGGTCCAGCGTAAGAACAGGGACGAGCTGAGATTCTACGCGGAGGGGCTCCAGTTCCCGGACGCCGACTTTTCTGGACTCATTAAAATCAAACTCAAATTTCAGAGGATTCGGGATTGGGTAAGCGGCCAGATATCGGTTATGGAAGCAACATCGGGGGCCCCCGTACATCCCACCTAACAGGCCCCCTTCCCCAGAAACTTCAAGGACCCCCCCCCTCCCCTTTGCCTGGTGTCTCCTCCTACACTGCAGAGTGCTGCTGAATGCATAGAGGTAGGGTGCTACCCAAGCTGCCTTGTGCACACAGCCCTGCAGTCCCTGCCCGGGGGCCCATACCTGGATCTGAGACCCAGACCGGGACCTGGACCAGTGATTGAGCTGTAAACCGGGGGTAGGCTCCTCCAGCTGGTGTGGAACTACAAGTCCCATGAGGCATTGCAAGACTCTGCCAGACATAGGCATCTCTGTGATGGCTGCATTGGTTTTCTTTTTTCCAGGCTTCTTCCTTTTGTAGTTTCACCTGGTGATCCTGCCAGTAACACGCTTCCTGTCCTGGGGGGATTACGCTCACTGTATTATATCTATAGAGGAGAAGCGTTGTCACCCTAGGACAGGGCAACAGAACACCTCTACCTTTCCTCTTCAGTAACATGGGGGGGTTGTAGCTTTCAGAGATAGCTAGAAACAATGTAACTGATAACAATGCAATGTTCAGTGTTGCCTATCCATATTTAGAAATGACCCGCCCATCCCCTCCCCCATCCTCAATCACACATAGATCCCTCTGCATACACATACCATGGGATGGATGATTTACATGCAGTTTAATAAACATCACACTGTCAGAGTGTTGCAATGTGGATAATTATACATCTACCAGCTGATTGTTCTATAAAATGTCTCTGTAACTGGCTGAGTCACCTTCTGTTTATAGAACACAATGTCATTCCTGCCGGTGACACAAAGTAGCCGAACCAACCGGAGGAGCCTAACGACCTTTAGTCTTCTATACCCTTTAGTCTTCTATCTGACCTCCGTCCTTCCCTACAGTGTTATATGTGACCTCCGTCCTTCCCTTCAGTCTTCTTTCTGACCTCCGTCCTTCCCTTCAGTCTTCTATCTGACCTCCGTCCTCCCCTTCAGTCTTCTATCTGACCTCTGTCCTTCCATACAGTCTTCTATCTGACCTCTGTCCTCCCCTTCAGTCTTCTATCTGACCTTTCGTTCATTATATTTCCATTCTTCCAATCATGGAGGTTCAGCAATAATCTGATGTTGGTTATAATGTTTTGGGATGGAGCTGGAGTGGTATTACAGGGTCCCCCCCCCCTCCCCCCCAATGATATACTCAGTATGAGATTCTATTCACAGACTTTGTTCATGTTTTTTTGTCATCTGTCAGGCCAACATCTTCACGGAGAGTGTGGCCTTCAGAGTGGCCCCGTGGATCATGACACCCAACACCCAGAAGCCATTGGAGGTCTATGTCTGCAAGTAAATCTGCTCAATCTTCCTTTTCCCCAATTATTTGGGGATTGCACTATGATCTGCTGAGAACCGATTTGTACAGAAGACCTATACTGAGTAGGAGTGGTCCTCCAAACATGGACCTTGCACTAATTTGCCCAATTGGCCTCCTCAGATCTCCCCATGTGGACCCCTTAGGTGAACTGTGCTTGAAGAAGTAAAAAAACCACATGGCTTTGGTTTACAACACACCATGTGACTACCGTGTCAGAGCTGACATGACTTGAGGTTTAGGGTCAGAGTTAGTTCTTCAATATCGAATGTCTTGTTCCCAGACAAAAAGTGTCCATTTTTGGGACAATACAGGTCCAGGATAGTTTAAAGGAAGTTCTGTAGCCCTCAGAAGCAACTCGAAGCCCATTGTACCTTCAAAAACCACCAAAACCACCTTAAAGCCTAACTCAAGCCACTCCCCTCAGCTAATCGTTGGGTTAGTATATATAACAAACAATTCTAAATGCCCAAAATACCTAAATTGGTGGTCATGTGATGATGGGTCTCAAGTCTTGGATCTTCTTCCACGAATTGGAGGAGGGTTCTTCTTCTGGTGTCCACATCGCTGCTTAGGTGACATGGATGCTTCCTATTGGCTGTCAAGTGACAGGGTCCTCTATGGATCTATGGACCGGAGTGTCTCAACCTTTTTCCTAGGCAACACCCTTTAAAAGTATGCACAACCTTGAGGCACCCCAATCTAAAAGTTAAAAAAACGATGTGTGGCCCCTCCAAAACCTATACCAGACCCTCATCCCAGATAGTGGTCTGGTATGGATTAAGGGGAGACCCCATGCAAAAGCAAAAAATATCATAGGTTTCCCCTTTCACATCAGAACCCCCCTTTGAAATCAGGAGCCCCCCCCCCCCTTTACATCAGAGTCCCCCTTTCAAACTGGAAGCCTCCTACACATCAGAACCCCCTTTCACATTAGAGTCCCCTTTACAGCCGAGCCCCCCTTTCACACAAGGATGGCCCTTCACATTGGAAGCCTTCCTGTACCAAGGAAAGGCATGACGCTGTACAATAATTTTAAAGAGGCCAGGAGGCACCCCAGTCTAAAAAATATACAAAAACGATGTGTGGCCCCTCCAAAACCCATACCAGACCCTTATCCCAGATAGTGGTCCGGTATGGATTTAAAAAACACAAAATATATTATGGGTTTCCCCTTTCACATCAGAGTCCCCCTTTCAAATCAAGAGCCTACATCAGAGCCCCCCTTTCACATTAGAGTCCCCTTTACAACAGAGCCCCCCTTTCACACAAGGAGGCCCCCTTCACATCAGAAGCCTTCCTGCACCATGGAAAGGCATGATGCTGTACAATAATTTTGAGGCACCCCTGAGGAAGCCAGGAGGCACCCTGGTTGAAAAAGGCTGATTTAGAATACTGCAGCAGTGATGACATCAGCATTGGGCGACTGGCCTACTGCAGTTCTGAATCCACCAATCCTTGCTCCAGGATGGAGTCCCGGTGAGGGACTGCTTCCGATGGCCGAGTTAGGGGAGCATAAACATAGATTCAGAAGATACTTTTCCTTATAATAATAGGTGATGGGGGGGTGGGGAAGAGAGATGGAGGGGGGAGTGTTGCCCAGAGACTGGCTTTAATTTCACATTGCCCATTGACTACAATTTATTTTTCATGAATGACATTTTGCGGAAATGTCTAAAATTTTGCCAAAATTTGGGGGAAGTGAAAGTGGACAACTTGCCTCATCCCCATTGGGTAAATAACCTTCCGAGGTAACCTGAGGCCATCTCATGCGTGTTGAGTTTCCACATTCCAGCTCGGCAGCAGGTTGACTCTGGAAGCCGTCTTACAACGCTGACAGATGTGCTGTAAACGCGGTTTGCCAGCCGTAACGCTCGGAGGCTGCACATGGAGATCGGTGGAGGGATGAAAAGGTGGTTTATAGAGTGTAAAGTGGTAGACACACCCAACAGAACTCGGTGAACCTGAGACATTGTATAATCCAGGGAGGATAGACCTGTTAGGACGTGTCGGGCCAACATCTGGGTTAAGAAACACATCCTGAGTGTTAGAGCGCCATCTATGAAGGGACAGAGGCATGACGGGCGAGATCTGAGGCTGGGAGATTCACCCTCATTCCCTGACGTGGTGACACCCAGGCTGCGAGCTTTACTTCCTGTTGCAACTTCCATGTAATCCTTTGGAGGACCCACTAGGGAGGCAGTCATCATCACTGGGAGCACCAGTTCCTCCTAGTAAGTCAGTATGTTGCCAGTTAGCTTCGGCCCCCATTGTTCTGCTATGGCTATGGTCTTGTCTTTACTTGAAGGGATTCTAACCAGTCTCGGTATTTATTCCCAAGCGTGGACTCCAATGAGGACTTTGTGAAACAGCTGAATGAATTTGTCAAAAAGTCCCGGACGTCACTCAACGTCTGCGTGAACAGTGAGAACCGCGGGGACCGCTGGATTCAGGTGAGGCCAGTGTGGATCATACCAAACGGGGGCTTGAGAAGGGGGTGAGGTGGAGAGGACTGGGATCAGCTGAGCATAGAACCTGTTCATTGTCCCACCATTTTCCTTTGGAGTAATCAATGGCTTTTTATAATTCTGGAACGAGTTTGATCTTTGCCGTCCATTTTCTGGAAGAGTCTTTGTCTTGTATTTTT